CCGGTGCAGAGGCTCCGCCACCTCCGCACTTCGGAAGGCGTCACTAAGACGTTGTGCGCTCAGAACTTTGACCCTGCCACACTCAGAAGGATCCATGTTCGCCCACAATTTGTTATCGAATCTGTCTCTTCATTTTTCCACAGTCAACAGGATTCTCAGGTGTCTATTAGGAGCTCCGAAGTAACTAGCAGAGCAGAAATAACTCGAGTCGCATTCAGCATCTTCTGCCACTTCCCCTTCTTTGTCCGTGGGAGTAAAAATCTATGCAAAGGGCTACTCAAGATAGGATTTCCAAGAAAGATGTCATATAGCCTTTGGGAAACGACTGAATTTCCAAGCAGGAAGGTTCGTCCCACCGGGAACTGAGTTTTGTGAAAGTAGATGGCGAGTTCCTTTCTCCAACTGCATGTTGAACAAAGTTTGCTAGCTAATTCACCCAACTTGATTTAAGCTAGCTATTAAATGTTGCCAAGACTGATTGTAAGCTTAAAACACCAGGAAACAAATCTCCCCGGATGAATCGCTGGAATCTGCTCCTCCCAACGAAAGAGAAGAAAATCTGAAGGATGTCATGCGGGCAGTGGTCGGTCTCTGCAGGGTCATTCTAAGGAGGTTATCCTGCCCATCAACAGTTATGTTCAATTGGAGTTGGTAACGATTGTTTTTCAAAGGCAAAAGTCGGGCTCAATAATGGGGTATTATGGCGATTGAAACTGAGTATAGAGATGCGAAGTAAAACGACAGTGGAGAACTGAGAAACATCGACAAGGACGTTTAACAACCTTTCTTCCCTAGCAGTGACAGGAGGCTATCTGGGAGAGGGCGTACAAGCCAATTTTCTGGTTTACAGTGTCTATCCGTTACGGCAATCAACCTAGCTGATTTCACACGTTATGCCAGCCATGCACCACATTCCCGGTGGGCGGTCGTAGCGAGGGCCAGGCGGCGATAGCGCATAGTACATGCCCTGGGGCCTTATTACTGCGCCGTTTCGGGTTTTGAGTGTGGGAACATCTCTACGGGTGCGTAACCAAGTACAGGCATGACCGAAAGGGTTGGTTCGGTCAACTAACTCCGACCTTTACCTTTAAGACATTGCAAGGCGTCGTCATGGTCGATATTTAGTTGTAGATCAGGGGTTTCCCCATCTTCTAATTTTTACAAAACACCGAATAGTTAGCAGCATTAATCGTAGTGAGTCGAATACGATCACAGACGAGAATGCAGTGAAGTACAAGAGATGGTCGAGCTGGGTAAGCTAGTGAATCGAAGAAGGGGGTTGGAGGGGGGCGGACGGAGCAGCGTACTGAGTAGTTCATCCTTCATGCTTGCGCGTGCCTTACTGGCGCTTCGTTCGCGCACGCAGTGATCAGTAAAATTCCTCAGCTCTATCCTGCTTCAACTTGATGACTCAGCTTGCAGCGACATATATCAATTAATCCCTGTTCGTCACTCAACCCAAAACCTTACAACTTACGTTTTGAGAATCGAGTATGCAACTAGAACACAACTACCTTGTAAGCAAATTTGTAGGCTTCGCCTTCAGTTGTTGCAAGGAAGGTCACAGAGCAATGCCGTTTCCGAATGAAAAGACGAGGTGCATGACGGTTGGAAATGCCTCACGGAATTTGACTGGTGAAGCGCTATTCCAGTGGTTTTGTCTGTAGACGACTGGGAAGGTTCTCGAATTGTTCATGGTTAGGTTCATCATGTCTCAGTTGACTAGCCACTGTTTTCAGTATTGGATTGCTATGGATTCGTTCCGCTTCTATGAATCCAGCAGCAAATGAGCTGTAGCTTTAAATGATTGGGGGATGTGACGGGTAGGGTAAATTTATGACCCCCATTGTTGCTTGATGGACGTGTGTGCAGAGGAAGCTCTAGTGAAGCGGCAGTCATGAAAATCTTCAGGCGTTAGCACATGACCTATGGTTAGAAACTATAGCCTACCTTGTCAAGGCGAACGAGTTCCATGAAAATGGCCCTAACAGAATTAAGGTGGATCCGGGTGCAGGAACTGAAAGAAAAACCGTGAAGAACGGCTCATACCCCAAGAAATGAAACCTCCTTTTATTCTGTTGATTTTCGCATTGACGCTACTTTCTGCGATACCGTCCTCTTCAACGCTAATGCTCTCTCTGCTGAACTCGTATGATAGACGAACGGGCAGAGGGGCTTGATCAGCGGAAGTGGCGACGTAGGCCATGCGCTGTGGCTGCAGGCTCAGGGTCCAACGCCGTCTGTAGAAGAATAACGAGAGTGTTGGTATTGACCCGAAGAATGGATGGGGTATGTGTAAACAGGGACTGCTGGTAAATTATTGAGGAAATGGAATTATTAAGAGATCAACGCAGCTACATCACGATACTATAGCCACCGGGAGGTGTGCGGACATTCATATGCTTAGTGCGAATTGCTTATCGCGAACAGAGTGCACGACGTACCCGAATGGTTTTCAATACTTTAACTGCCTTTGTTTATGTCAGCGGCCGTAAGCACGAAGACTTCTCAAGATCTTGAGTGTCTTTCGACAGAATCCAAGTGGAACGAGAGGAACATTGTAAGGAATTTGCATCGTTTAAAGCATCTGTTCATGGCTCTTCAATCTTCTTCCACTCATATTAATTATGATTTGTGAGAAAGTGAGTGGAGTATGAGATCGCAAAAGTTGCTGTTTCAGGAAAAATGGCTTTGAAAAAATCACAAAAAAAACAACGCGGAAAAACGAAATAATTTTTTGAAATAGCGATTCTTCAAAAAAAGTTTTAGCAATTTGAAAGCTCTAATCTTCTAGTTTAATTAGCCTTAGACATTTGCAAAAAGTTGATTATGAAGAAAGTTATGAATGTTTGAATGTCGAAAACTCGCGTGTGCACAAAAAACGGAACAACGGGACGATTTTTTTCGAAATATGAACATTTGCAACATTTCAAACTTTTTAGGAAGAAAACTATTTATCTTTTTTGAAATTTTTGCGTCCCATCTCATGAGACTGCTTTTGAACAGAAATAGGACCTTCTGAAAAGGAAAGGTTTGTATGTACTAATTGTACAGTTGTAGTTATTCAAGGTTTTAAATAAGGATAATTGATTCGAAAAGGCTTGGTAGCTTTCTGAAAGTAGAAAATCTTTGTGACTTTTACCATATATTGGTTTACGCGAAAATTGGAAAATTCCTTCTATTCAATGAATAAAACTTCATGTTGCCTCGATCCCCTCTGAGCGAGACAAGGCGCGCGGATTGACCACGGTCCACCACTTCTTCATGTCGGTGACTGTCCATACATCAATGATGAGCATTAAATTATGTGTAAAGACACAATAGGAAATAAGGACGGGTAGGTCGTACCGATACCCAGAAAGGGAAGGGGGTCGTAAAAATTTAGGAATTTGCGCAACGCACGGGTTGACCCTGGCTGCAGAGGCGCAAGCTTCCGCTGAAAACGGCGTCATGCGTTCTCGTCTTTGGGGCGACTCGCTACTTGCTAGTATCCTTCTTTTCTTCCAACATTTATCGTCGGAATCCTCTTTTAAAGCACTAGTCCAAAATGTTAGTTAGGTAGCAATTTCTACGAAACAACCCTAAGTTATCACAATGTATTGAATGCGTGAAAAAGATTAAAGTAGCTGTACTTTCGAACTGTATCATTAGATTGATAGCATCATTTTTCTGTTGTTCCAAGCTTCAATTTCCTTTTTATCTGATAACACGCCCACGCTTTCTCAGAAGATGTTTATCTTTACTATATAAAAATCCGCCTCTAAATCAAGCGCCATGATGTTGATTTTTGCATCCATATCTCTTTAAAATGTTGATGTTCGGGCGAAAGTCACACAAAACGATAGCATAAAAGCTGGCAGGTGTGGTCAGTCGGCAACTTCGAAGGATTCAAAGGAACGAGCGCATTTTTTATTATGATCTTTTTTCTATAATAGTTTTCTATTAGCTTAGGCTCATATTTAACATATTATCTCTCTGTTATTTAATCCTTTTCACTAAACTTTCTCATCCATCTTATGGTTATCTATATCTATTTTTGATATTCAACCTTTTATAAAATGTACTATAAAATGTTTAATTACCCAAGTTTGGTATCAATGAGCGGTACAAGTGGATGTCCACACTCATTTTTACAGGCCACAGCCTTTTCGGTCACAGCTGAAAATATGACCTAAGATTGTCAATGGTTTACGGAATTGTACTGTTCGTCGTGTGGCCTCCTTCTTTTTGAAAGTTTACTGCGCCAAATTGCATTGTAATGGTTCCCTTTATGAGCTTGGGTGTTGCTTTCATCTGTTCTGAACACGGAAATGAACTCCTGTTGTTCGAACTTGACGTCGCTTAGTCAATCGCAACAACATTGTAAAGTTGACTTGAACCTACCCACAGCATATCTTACGCGAATTATACATATAGTGAAGATTTCTCGATTGGCAGCACTTGTTGTGGAGACTGTCTCTACGAAGATCCAAAACAAGAATGCAGTATACGAAAATTTCCAAATTCAGCGTATTGAGATCACTTTCTCAGTATTCAGCGAACAGGTGTTCGGTAACTGTCTGTCTCGCACTGCTGCTCCCCACTTATTTGTTGGACTTTTTTTCAAGCCGTATCCTCTTGACTCTTCTGAAACGTTTCCTTGTCATGGGAGCACCTATTTTGGTCGATGAGGGTAGGACATTCAACTGAGTAAGCCACTCGCAGTACTTGGAACTGAGCTTTAGGGAAGAGAAGGGATTCTGAGAGAGGATGAATTTATTTTTGCCACTCACTGACCTTCCTCTCTTCTTCTGTGCTTAGTCCTAGTGTCATTTACAAGCGGTTTTAAATGCTGTTTTCTGGAATGCCCCCCCCCTCGCTTCTCCCAAGGACATGGGCGCCCTCGTGGATCATCGTAGAAGTGAAATATTGAAAATGTGTTACCGCTTTTGTGTTACTGTGCAAACGCCAACGCTTTCAGTGATTTTCTGCGGATTTTTGTTGGCGACGGCTCCTTAATTATGACGGAACGACAGTTGGAATGCGCGGGGTATACTGTGTCAGACGGTGAGGATTCACCTTTGGAGAATGCATTTCTGAGGCGGCCGAATAGCCTAACATGTCAGCCCCCAAGATTGACGCGTTGTCGAAAAATCTTATTTCAGGCTGGGCAGTTCCACTCGCATTGCAGATGTACTGGAAACCAGTGATTATTATGATCTACGAAGCGAAGGTTGTCAGTGAGCTGATTATTTGTGTAAGTTACGGTATCCTCAGAAAGTTCATCGAAAAAGAGACGCCCTAACCGTTGCAATGGAATCTTCTAAAATCATTCGGCGATGGGTGTCCCCCAAGAGGCCCGTCGCGCGGCGAAGGAAGAGACGCAGACGCGGCAAAGGACGAGTCGCAGCGCATACTGTAGCGGTTAGGCGTCAGGTTAAATAGAGTGTACCATACTACGTCTCATATCGCACAGCACGCGCTGCGACTCGTCCTTTGCCGCGTCTGCGTCTCTTCCTTCGCCGCGCGATGGGCCTCCTTGGGGACACTCTTTGGAGATAACTGACGAGGTTCCGGCATCTACGCCAGTCTCGGTGCCGTATGAGACTGGAAGTGTGAGATGAGATTTGCTCTAGACATCGCTGTGACCTCTTTCACTGCACAGGGTTTTCTTTTTGTGCTGAGAGGCACGAAAGCATAACCAGATACTTGTTAATTGAAGTATTCTTCTCACTCCTCCCCCCTCTCCCCCCCCCCCCCGCGTTGAATAAGGTTGGATGGGTCCACATTTGAGGGAGAGTGGCACTTTAATAGCCCACAACTTATGACAGTGGCGCTACGGGTTACGACTTGCAGCACCGTCGCGAAAAAAATGGCGTCCACAGGTGTCTACCCCCTCGCTCGTTCTTACTCGTTTCCGAGTCTGCCCTCTCGCTTCGGCGCCCAGTATCCCTTTATTTCTCAGTCTCTGCCTGTCTCGTAGTCTCGGAAGCACCTCGGAGAGGGCCAATCTCAGTCTTTCCAGAGATTTATTTCCTTTTGTGTTCACTTATGGACCCCTCAGCAGGTTTGGATTCCCTTTTTTGTGTGACCAAAACTAACAGATTTCGCGCAGATGTACTTTTTAAGTCGAGAAATGTAATTCTCGGTTCAAGTACTAATTAAGAAATGGTATTGTCGGGTTCGAGTACCTGATGGGATGCAATGGCGGCGATCAAACCATGATTTCCTAAGATTTATGGCTTGAAATTCACCAGCCGGATTAATTATAGAGGCTCCGTGACAACTCGAATTTCAGTTGCTCAGTCGCCTCGTCCTTTGACCGAAATCCGCCGATTGGTAAAGCATCACTAGTTGGCATGTGACAAAAATTCTTCTCGAAACCATTTGGAAAGTAACGCTAGTTTTTATTTTATTTGAATATAGTCAGGATTTTCAATTCTCTGCGGTTGTGCTACCCGTCGACTGACCTTAGATAGGACCTTCCAACAACGTCGATAAATTGCCATAATGATGAGACATGTTGTGATTCCCAAGCAATTTGTACTCTCATGCGTGCATCCGCTGACCTCCCATCGTGAGCCGTATTCAGAATTCCCCGAAAGAGAAGGAGCCCTCAGCCTTCTGCGTACGTACTGAATGTCATTCTACGTTTCCACCTGCAGTGGCTCATCCTCCACTTAGGTGGGTTAGCCTCACGGAGCAGACGATAGATGACCATTTCTTGGCATCTCCCTGGCCAAGGAAAGGTTACCTATTCAGAATTACTCAGTAGAGACGGAGAAGCTAGCTGCACTGTTAGTTCTGATCAGCGCTCGTATTTTGTCGGCCAGGGGTCAGGGTGCTTTAATCGCCACTGCTCCATAAATCAGCGCATCAACAACGCTACGAGCGATCTCAAGCTTCAGGAAGACTCTGTTGAGTTGCCTGACGTTTCGTATGTTTAGCCGAAACCGATCTGATGCCGCCATCGGACTGGTCACGAATTCTTCATAAAATGGTTGCAGCTCCTGGATACTTCGACGTAGCTCTGATTGAATCGTATGTGGTCATTTCAAAGAAAATATAGAACTGTCACAATAAAAGAACCCCAGGTCACCATGGTCATTCAAAAAGAGATGTAAAGCTGTGCCATCGAACAGCCTTTCATCTCAAATTACCTTCCAAGTCTGGTAAACGATCCTTCGAATGAAGTAATGATGCAGAAGAACGCAATGATGATGGTAGCAACTTTCAGTGAGGTCCTTATGGGAAAGATCCCTTACGTGTTTACTGTTTTGCTTTTTCCGGCAATACAGCTGGAAAAAATTTTGACGCCTAGTTAGCTGTATTGCTGAAAAAAGCAAGTCAGTCAACCTGATAAGGGATCGAGCCCACGACGACTTGACTGTGAATCACGCCCTCTACCGTTGCGCTCTTTTGCTTCTGAACTCCTTTCAGAGAATCGTTCAGCAGATTTGGAATGTGGATTTGAGAATCAGCGTTCAAAGGCACTAGTCATATGTATATCTTAATGAATGGTCATGGTTATCTGGGATTATTTTCGTTTCATTTAGCCCAATTTCTTGTCAGTAAGCAGATAATCAAAGGGTACCCGGCAGGAGGCTTGTCGCACGGCCAAGAAGGCAGAGACGCAGATGGGTCAGCGGACGAGTCGCAGCGCGTACTACAGTGATTTAGCGTCAAGTGAATAAATGTACTATAGTACGTCCCACATCACACAGCACGCGCTGCGACTCGTCCGCTGACCCGTCTGCGTCTCCGCCTTCTCGCAAGCGCGACGAGCCTCCTGTCAGGTACACGGTAGCCAAAATCGTTTAAAATTGGATCCCGTTTTATTTTAGAGTGATGGCAAAAGTGCCCAATCTGAGCAACAAGCGACGTCGTCAAGTCCGACGGATCATGAACATCTCCTTATCGGAATCGTTGTGTGCTGTGGACTTCGATGAGTGTTCGGACACTCGAAGATCTTCAACGTCTCATCCGAAAAGGTCAGCTCTCTTTCTGCCCTATTGTTGCTCGCTTTTCTTAGTATCCGCAAATTCTCAGTGAAAAAACGCTTCAGGATCCCGTTTAGATTTGTTTTTTGCTAACTATGGGTCCACGTGATGGGAATATTCAAACAACTAAGGAAAAACATTTGATCTTATCCGGGAACGAAACTGGGTCCATTTTAAAGGCACCGTACCATTTATTACGTTATTCCGTTATTTGGGATGTTTTACTTTATCCTCCCCCCTTAGCATCAGTAATTAAATGTCACTTAGTATGCCATCGAAGACAGAGGAGTACATAGAGACTTTGAAGGGAAGCCCACACTCGGAAATGAGGGCGGGGGGGGGTCAGGTATCGGCACAGGTTGAATATTTTGGCATTATTCAACCCTCACTGCAGCATAGATCCGCTATCGCAAGATACGGGAGCGTCCTGGTAATGCATTTGAAACCACGTAAATCATCTCCTATTATTGAAACGGGAAAAAGCTCACGCGTGAGGAATGATTACAGGGTGCGTGGGCGATTTTCAGGTTCCCGTCTGTCTTCCTACCCCTTTCAAGGCTCAAGGATGCACCCGTACCTTGCGATAGCACCGCAAATGATAAGCCGGTCAAATTCAGAAGTGATTTACCAAATTCCAATATCCTTGTTGTTATTTACAATTCAATTAGGGGAGTTATGTTCCAGATCGAGGTACTGTGTCGACAACGGCGGAGCCGCCAGCAGACGGCTTTGTACTGTGCGATTCGGAAGAGTGGTGCTCGGTGCCGTTAGGTCTGCTACCTGGTGCTTCGGTGGACACATTCTCACTAATACTTGACAATGATTGGATTTCGGCTCAAACGCTACGTAACGACCGTGAGCTGAGCGTCATTGAAGAGGATGATTAGAGACACATTTCGCAGCAGTTCCATTTCGGTTCGTCGCGCTCAAGAAACAAGGCGGGGCTGCTAAATGGCTTGCCATAAAAAAATGTTTTCCATTCATTTGAAGCGTCGACAACTTCGAGCACTCTCCCCATACATTTTCAAAAAACGGTTCTGCCTGTAGGATGACATGCCCAGGCCAGTGTACAGTGTTTTTATCCTGGTTTCCAGTGTCTTCATACTCAGATAGTTTGTTACCGGGTGTCCCCCAAGAGGCCCATCGCGCGGCGAAGGAAGAGACGCAGATGCGGCAAAGGACGAGTCGCAGCGCGTGCTGTGCGATATGAGACGTAGTATGGTACACTCTATTTAACCTGACGCCTAACCGCTACAGTATGCGCTGCGACTCGTCCTTTGCCGCGTCTGCGTCTCTTCCTTCGCCGCGCGATGGGCTTCTTGGGAGACACCCTCTGTTACCAATTAACCGCCTTAAAGGATGTCGAATTTGGTGGACCTGAGGGCGTTCGGCTCAGGATTTGATCCCCTCACTGTGCGCTTGGTAAACAGCGCCACTTGCCGCTTTACCGCTTCAACCAGTTTGTTTGTAGATATCACATCCAATTCCAGCGGTAGCGTCTATTCTCCTTTGGAGAGGTGACAAGGAATGTCTTTCAGGGTGGGGGAGCGCTTTTTAAAACGGTTTTTTCACAGCGTAGGACCTCCGGCTTTTTTGTGGGCTGCAAAACTTAGGCTCATTTTTGTTGAGCGGCCCGTGAAGGCGGAGAGGCTTGCTTCCATTCGGTGGTTTTCACCAGATTCTGGTGGGAGTTTAACTGTAAGGGTTGATGATGTCTCCATCAACGCTGCCTATGTGTATGCTCCATCCACGTAATCGGCTGAGTTCTAATTCGAAATACCAAAAAGTTATCACGTCGGAACTTAAACACCCTTAGAAGAAGGTCTTCAATGTGTGCAGCTCATTTCGATAACGCTCCGATGATATAGAGGCACATGCGGGAACCACAGAACCATGGTTAATTTTTCCTGAACGGCCCTCTGAATACCAGAAAAGGGGGTCCCTAGTCACACCTTTTTCACCAGTTTTTCAATCAAAGTCTATTTGTAAGGGTTACTGACGTTCCTAATCATGAATTTGGTACTAATTATTCATGCTAACTCCATTTTGCGCGAATTTTGAAACGTCAACTCGAAATGCAAAAATTGTCACCACGAGGAATCGAACTAGGGACCCCTTTTCTGGTATTCAGAGGCCGTTCAGGAAAAATGAACCATGCTTCTGTGGTCCCCATATGTGCCCCAATGTCATGCAAGAAACCATTTTGAAAAAGCTTGGCACACCCTGAACGACCTCCCTTGTTAGATCAGTTCTCACTTTTTCGCCTTCGTGGGGCCGCTTAGCGAAAATGGACCTCGGAAACGATCGGTGAAAGAGGGAACATTTTTTGCTGATTAGAGCTAGTTGGCGTGTTGCTCGGCCTCAAGCTCTCAAATCTGCGGGGTTGCGAATTTTAATTTGAAGGAAGATGTAACACTACTGAGCCTTCCAAAAGTTTGGGACTGCATCAGAAAATATTGGCTCACCAGTTTATGCAGGACTTTCTTCCGCATTCTTTGTTATATAAGCTGTACTGATCGTCGTGGAACGGCTTTGAAAAGAGGTTACCAGCTACTTGCTGCTTTGCGAGTTTGAGTTGTTAAGTGGTATTTTGATTAATTTCATCCCAATAAATTTCGCATTTTCGATCCAGTCCCGAAACTTTTCGGAAGACCTGGTAGATCTACTTTGACTGTTGTGCAATGCGCTCTCGGTGACAGAATTCGTTATTTGTTATGTGACGCGTTCACATTTCGAACCGCCCTATCAATGCGTGCATTTAAGCAACAGTCTCAGCAGGGTTTTTACCTTCACACTAATGGCGTGGAACGTTGCGCTAGCCAAGTGCATAAGAAGTGTGATGAAAAAAAACTCACCTTGGAAAGCCGCTGGAAAGGGAGCTGAACGGCTTCGAAGTGGGCGTGGTTGGAAGTCGGCCGAGGGATTGCAGCCGACTGAGCAACCACGCCCACTTCGAAGCCGTTCAGCTCCCTTTCTAGCGGCTTTCCAAGGTGAGTTTTTTGTTCAGTCACACTTCTTATGTTCTTGACTAGGGCTAGCGCATCGTTCCACACCATTAGTGTTGAAGGTAAAAACCCTACTGGGATTGTTACTTTAAATAGCGCTTGATTGTGAGCTTATGAAACCAATATCTGTTCTTAGAGGTCCGAAGTATGTAAGCAGTTGACGTTTGGAATCCTTTCCAAAGAGGATGTGCCACCATCTTCATGGTCGCTGCATTGTTGTTGATTTGTTGTTTGTTGTTCCATTTCACTTTTTGTTTTGCTTTGTGCTGAACTGGTTTTATTGAAGTATGCAGAATACGACTGAATTATTGACCGTTCTAAATGTTGATTATGATACGTCTTCTACAGCGAGCAACAAATTGAGCTTCTTTAGTGCCACTCTGAAATGAGAAGAATTTTTAGGCCAATGTCAGACTTTGCGAATCGCTGGTACGAGCTGTGCACCAGCGGATCAACTATGTGCCAGCGGATCGAATGTAAAGCTAGCGACTCAACACTGTTTGAAAGTGGCGGACCAGAGTCAACCCTGCGTTGCGCAGTTCTCAACGGCCACGTTGCGCAGTTTCGCCCGATTAGACACGTTCTCTCGCGCGAACATTCACACTCGCATGCTCGAGCCGTCTGCGTCTCCGCCCATACAGCGTGCGTTGAGGATCTCTCAACGTGCCGTTGCGAACTGCGCAACGCAGGGTTGACTCTGGGCGGGACCCAGCGTTTAAAGGAAGTCTACAGGGTGGCCGAAAAGTACACGTTTTTGTGTGTAAAAGCCAAGAAAGAGACTCGATCAGGAATCTCGAACTGTCCTCACACAAGATAGAGTTAAGCTATTTGATCACTTGTGCAGAAGGTGCTTTGAATTTGACGACTCTGCTTTGAGAGAGGCCTTCTGACGTCCAACGACAAAATCAGCAGTGCGCCGCAGGTAGCCAACGGCGATGTCGTCCCACCTCTTCTGAAGCGCTAACTTCAGAGCACCCACCGAGCTGGAGAAGTCTTATGAGGTCTTGCTCTACAACATCCTCACATAGAGGAGTCCATCGGGTCAAG